GACGTGATACGCTACACATATTGAGGTAAATTATGAGATGTTAACTCATAATTGAGTTGCAACTGTAATTCCTCATTATCTGCATTAACAAGTGTATGTCCATCAACAAACCAATGTGTATATGTCTAATTTATGGTTAACATGTGGGAACTGTATCAATAACAGTGCATACATTAGTCAAGCTCTAGCGTGAATGAATGATGTAACATAAAAGTTGATAAAACAAATATTGCTCTATGCTTAATGTTTCCTCAAAGTAGTGAGAATGACAGACAATCTGCATTAATATTCAATTCAATTCAGATTTATTTGTATTTCACTATACATATTGTTTCAAAGCAGCTTTACTGAAAGTGCATTTCAGAAACGTACTTGGAAAAATACTTTTAGTAAATCATGTAATAATTTAGGGCATAACATATCGCCGGTGTTGAGTAATAGACAGTTATAGGTAATTGTGGCCCACAGCTGATTAGCAGAAGTATTTCAGTAAGACAGTAATAATGCGAGTTAGCCAGTTAGCAGGAGACACAATATAAAACTGAAAACTAAGTATTCTGAACGCAGAATATATAGAATTATAAATTCATACTTATAGATTGTGTGTGATTCTGAAGAAAAAGTGTGTCCAAATTAACTGGGTACTGACCGGTCTTTCAAGAGCAAGCGTTTTGCGGATCCTGCATTGAACTCCAAGATTTGAGAAGCAGTCGTCAGTAAAATGAAGGAAAAACAGCAAAAGATTAGTATGGTTGTAAAGATAAAAAACTGGCTTTAGCTTCACATTGTAGAGCACAGTGCCGTCATCTCAACATGATGCTTTCCAGTATCCGCAGGAATCAACTACAGTTTTTGAGGGGGTTCAAGTTTTCCCTGGTGTCTGCGCACGCAATAAGTGGATGGGCAATGTGCTGTTTTGTCTTGCCGTCAAAACAAAACTGCATAGGATTTGTTTTAAAAATTATTTAATTGGCTCAGACTCGACTCTATAACTTTATATATGGTGCAATTTATATATAAAAAATATTGCAGGATGTTTTCATTCACTTAGAGAGCCATGTTACACACACTACATGGTACATTTTAAAAATATTTAATTGGCACATAAATTTAAGTTGAAAATATTTAAACATCCAATTTGATTGTACTTAATTAAAGACAGCTACTTAATAAACACAAAAGGAAAATTATTTAAGACTGGTTTTTTTTAAGGTGCAGCTCAAATGTAGCCTTAAAAATAGTCCACCTGACTTGTTGACTATTTCATGAGTCAGTGGGTTGAACTCTAGAACTGTCTGACTGATATATGAATGAATCAATCCGAATAATTTTGGGGATTAAATCAAATTGTTCACTGAAAAGATTTTAGTCCAAATAATGACTGGTTCATACATTGGTAACAATGACAAAACAGTTACTCGGTTCCTCACAAAAAAGCCATAATATGGCTTCAGAAAATTTAATATAACATTAATATGTATCACTTTTATGAAACAGAAAAAAAAAAAAAATAGAAAAAAAAAGAAAAAAAAATGTTGGACTTATGTTTTCATTGTCCATGGGTTTTCTTTAATAATGTTTTTTGTTAAATGCCTGAAATTAGGTCTGTGGTTAACAAAAGCTCAATATATTTTCTAGTTTTGTTCTACAACATAAAATACATCGTTTAAACCCATCCTTTTACGTCTTGAAAAAAAGCGTTTGCTTACAAGAGGCTAAAAGGGGTTATAAAGGATGTCAGTGACATTAAAGTCATGCTGATTTAAACAGATAAACCCATTTTACACATGAGATTTGATTATACTCTAGCTCATGAAAACTATTCTAACTCAAAAATTCTGACTTGTAGATTTAGTTGTTGGAAACTTGGTGCTGGTGAAGCCATGCGACTGTGATGTAGTTTGTTTATAGCCTGTTTAGCTTTTTACTTTTAGTGATTGCTTCAAAACGAACATGTTCACTTGTGAAGACTATCTTGATCAACAAAAATAATCATAAACTTTTTTTGGTCACAGAGCTTAATTTGATTAACTGCAATAATACAAAAGACAATAAAATAATCCCCCCCCCAGGGTACTGCTAACTTCCGGACTGACAAAAGTACTTCATCCTTGCTTGACCTCTATTAATTGCAACTGCATAGAGGGAAAAAAAAAATCTCCTTTTGTTTTCCATGGAAGAAAGTAAGTCACACTGGTTTAGATGGATATGAGGGGTGAGTAAATGATGACAGAATTTCTATTTTTGGCTGAACTGTTCCTTTAAGGGTTAAGTGGGTTTGAGAGGGAAAGTGTGTTGGATAAGGCTGAGGTTGGATTGAGAGAGAACGCAAGGATGAGAGTGTTTGTTGTAAGATGGGGAGAAGGGAAACAGAAAGAGAGTGAGAGATTGAGGTTGGTCTGAGAGAGAGAGAGAGAGAGAGAGTGTGTGTGTGTGTGTGTGTGTGTGTGTGTGTGTGTGTGTGTGTGTGTGTGTGTGTGTGTGTGTGTGTGTGTGTGTGTTGGAATGCTGAGGTTGGAGTCTGTGCTCATGTTTCCCTCTGGTTTTGAAAATCAGGGAGCCCTGAGCCCATTAGGAGACAGACTCAGAGCTAAGCCAGGGCCTCCAGACCTTGCCAACCACTCTTCTCCCTCTCTCTCTTCCTCTCTTTTGTCTTCCTACTGAGGCACTCACTTCAAAATAACCTCTTATTTATGCTCTCTCTCACTCATCCTTTACTTCTTCGCAGGCACTCTATCATTTTCATTTCTGTGTCACATTGTTGGCTTCTCTCGTCCCTCTCGTCTCTTTCCCCCTACTGTCCTCCCCCTTTACTCTTTCTTTTTTATTTCCACATCTCAGCTGTAACCACCGCAACTTGCCTCTAAATCCATTTAAAAAAAACATTCCTTAATGAATTTTATCTGCGCAGGTTCTGTTTATCAAAATACACTTCCCGTAAGGTTATTTCCTGTGATGCAATGTAATAGGCATCACGGCTTGGTGCCATGTCTAGTTTGTGTGCACCCCTAGTAAATGAGTCAGACAAATGTTTATAGTTGTACTCACATTCTGTACTGAGATTTAAAGAGGTTGTTCGTCCAAAAAATGACTATTCTGTCACCATTTACTCACCCTCATGTCTATTCAACTTGTCGACTTTCTTTCTCAACACAGAGGTATTATAAAAATGTGACTGTTTTCTTTTCTTTTTTTTTTTTTCAAAATTGTTAATTTGGACCCCATGAGTTTTCATTGTATTAACAAAAACAGTTTTGGAATGACATTGAAGGTAAGTAAAATGATGACAGAATTGTCATGTTTGGATAAACTATCCCTATATTAAAGGGATTTTTCACTTTGAAATTAATTTTTGATATATTTCAGCTTACCTCATCCAAGATGTAGGTGTCTTTGTTTCCACAGTAGTTTCAATTTTGATATTTTTCGGTCAAACCGTTGTTGTCTGTCGGTCATAATGGAGGTTTAGGGGTGCTCAAAGAGCATGCACAGAGAAGTCAAAATTAAACATGATTGAATGACTCGTAAATGTAAGTACACATTGATGGCCTAAGACACGAAACGAGCGGTTTGTGTGAGAAAACGAACAGTATTTATGTCGTTTTTACATCGTGCTACCACAGCGATAACGCTTCGGTCTGCACTTGCGGCGGAAGTGATCGCTTGCGCACCTACGTCAGTCTTTGTTTATACAGAGATTTCGGAAGTTTTACCTTTCACTAAACATATTTAGATATACGGGAAGACGATTTCGGTATATCTAAATATGTTTAGTAAAAGGTAAAACTTCCAAAATCTCTGTGTAAATATTGAGTGACGTCACACGCAAGCGATCACTTCTGGCGGAACTTTGAACATGATTCAGTTCGGTTCAGTTGGACAACTGATTCAGATCACTTGGACGTCAATGTGATTACAAGTGGTAAAAACGATATAAATACTGTTCGTTTTCTCACAAAAACCGCTCGTTTCGTGTCTTAGGCCATCAGTGTTACATTTACGAGTCATTAAATCGTGTTTAATTTTGAATTCTCTGTGCTTGCTTTTTGGTGGACCCCCATACCTGCATTATATGACTGACAGACAAGAATGGTTGGACCGAAAAATGTCAAAATTAAAAATACTGTGGAAACAAAGACACCTACATCTTGGATCCCCTTGAGGTAAGCTAAAACATATCAAAAATTAATTTCAAAGTGAACCATCCCTTTAAAGTGCTAAGTTCACACAAAAATTAAAATTCTGTCATCATTCACTCACCTTCATGTCATTCAAACCCATAAGACCTTTGAAACACATATCACATATAACACCCGCTTCGGTCAGATGAAGTTCTTCCATTAAAAGTCTATTCCACCAAAACGTGTAAAAGTAATGCACATCAATGGATTGGTTTTATTCACATGTCAGCACATCAAATATGGTAAACCGTAGATCAATGTGCTTGCTTGCTGCATAAGAACTAATGAGGCTTGGTATTGTGTGTTAAGCAAGCATGTGAGCTTCCGTTAAGCATTTTTATACGCTGTATGTTGTGCATCCTAAAATCTGTTTATCATACCAAGTGATCAAGTCTCTGCAGAAGAACTGCTTGATTCATTTGGATTCATTTTACAATGCCTTCATGAACTTTTTGAAGCTTCAACATTTTGTTGGAATGGGCTTTCAATGGAGGGACAGAAATCACACAGGTTTATTTAAAAATGTCTTCAGTTCTTTTTCAAAAGTCTTATGGGTTAGAACAAAATGAGGGAATAAATGACCACAGACTTTTCATTTTTGGATAAACCATTCCTCAGGCTGCTGATGTCACCAATTACACCACATGTAACTTACAAACCGGGCGTGAAATTGATTCCTTGTCTTGTTTAACATGGACTGATCTATATGAAAGACCCTTGAAATGTGAACACGGTTGTAAAACAAACTATTTTTCCTCTGAATCATGACATGTTGCGCTCTCTCTCTCTCTCCTTTCCTTTTGCTCTCTTTTTCCACAGGCCAGTCAGCAGCTCCCCCTCCTTATTGACTTCACTCCACTACATGTTCTCATCGTCCGAGCATTCCCTCCACCACGCCGAAAAGCTGTCTCTCATTTTCCCACTGCGCTCTGGTCTGCACTGGGGGCTTTAAAGGGGGGCCGGGGGTGCGGACCCCAAACGACGTGGCAGAGTGTGTGCGTCTATACGCCGACCAGCAAAACCACACACCCTATGAGGACAGTCAAATGAATACGATGGGATTCGTTCACATTTCCCATAAATGATTTCTGTCCACTACGGTCTCTGGAATGAATTACCAGGGCTGCCAGTAATTCATCAACGGCTACATCAGTTTAGAGAGGAATTTCACTGATACCAACCATGCAATTTCAATAACCATCGGAGAGGTTACGGGGGGATAAACTAACAGACAGACATGGAAGGAATGGGAAGAAAGGCAGTTCACACAGGATAAAGTCAAACGAATATGATGGTGATTGTGTTTTATTGGATATCTGTGTGTATCTCTCTATAACTACAAAATATAACTAACTTCAGCATTTAATCAGTTTTTTGCAACTAGCCTTTGTCAAGGTTCCTAGAAACGTTGAGAAAAAAAAGAAAATGCTGAAATGAGTGTGCAGTTATATTTTGCCTTTATAAAGCTTTCTTCTCTAACTTGCACCTCTAAAAGGTGTGTGTTCCGATGTATTGTTAAAGGACACATTGAGCACAGCAGGAAAATGGAGGCTCTGGGAATACTGGCAAGGAGGAAGTACTTCCCTCAAACACACATACATTTACTCTCTCGCACACACACATACACACATTCCAACGCTCGCACATACACACTCCCTGGCCCCCTGCAGACTGTGTGGGGGGTGGTCAGTCGGGCTGATTTTGGCAGCGAGAGTCTGAAGGAGTCCTACAGCACTGAAAAATACATTATCTAGGGTTTTAAAAAAAGCATCAGACTTTGAGAAAAACATTGGAAGGCAAAACCACAATGAAACCGTGAAGTGAACATAAGACTGAAAGGAACATTATGTCCAAGGTTATGCTTCTCAGTTTTAAGGTAAACTAAGGAACGGTCTGAATCGAAGCAATTGATTCTGTTCTGAAAGAGTCGTTCATTGGTTTAGTGACCGTTATTCACATGAGAGCTGTTATCAAACTGAATCCATAGTTTGCCCAGTGATATCAATTACCTAATGCTGCACAATGTGTCCATGCTGTTTGTATTTGAGAGTGCTGCTGGTAAAATATAAAAGTGTCAATCGAGGGGTAATTAAGCTTCTGAAACCAACACAAACACCTCCTAAATGACAATAGCAACCCTTTGTACGTTGGGGACACTGAGCGAAATTTCACCGAATCACAACATATCCTATTTAGAGAGCCATTTCTTCATTGGTCTCTGATATAACTCGCTCACAAAAGATAAAATGGTTTAATGATTGTCATTCTTTAATCAGAGTTGTTATTGTTAACTTCAACTAAAACAGAAGTGAAAAAAAGTCCGTAAGTGAAAAAAAAAAATGAAAAAAAAAAAGTTTAGTACAACAGTGTTACAAATACTGTAATACTTATGGTACTAAGTATTACAAATAAATAAAAAAATCAAGTCATATATATATATATATATATATATATATATATATATATATATATATTTAAATATGCAAAAGCAAACAAAAAAGTTACGAAAGTTAAAATGAAACCTGAAAATATACAAATAAAATCTAATCCGAAATATTAACAAATACTTAAAAAAAATAAAAACATGTTCAACACCAGGATTTTTAAACTCTTCTTTGGTATGCCTGTTTTATTAACTTTTTTTTTTTTACTTATTTTTCCATTTCTAAGCATTGACAACTGTAATTTAATTGTTGTCTAATTAAAGTGGTTAAAGGCGTCATCAGAACCAAAGTTCACTTTTATATGGTGTTTGCATAAAAATGTGTATTTGCAGTGTGTGGACACAACCACCAAAGTATAGAAAAAAAAAATCCATTCACTCCTTTTTTTAATCCTCAAAAAGTCTAAACACTCAATAATCAGGCAGTGTGGATTTTCTGAACACTATGATGTCATAATGCTCATGCTCCGCCCACAACCACTGATGGACTGTCCCGCATTACCATATTTCTGCCCTCAGCCATTCGACACCATAGATATCATGTAAAGACTAGATTCCCTATTGGCCGCTGGGCACTGAGAAATCCAGCCGCCATCTTGAACCGGTTGTATTCCTAATGTGTTGCATAGCAGCAGATGCCAGAGCACTGTGCAGCATATTCCTTCTCAAATCAGTGGACTATCGCTCGGGAATTACTTTACACAAGTAAGATTTAAGATTTAACATTACCTTATTGGTTGTATTTTGTGAGCAAAATATCCCGTGTCCTGTATCATAGCTACATGTATGACCTATGCAGCAAAAAACCCAGCGTGAAAATCAGTTCGGTATTCAGTGAGATATGATTAATTAATTGTGCTGACAGCTCATATCACCCGCCAAACAGATTACACTGAGTGGAGCGGATGACCGGTTTAAGATGGCGGCCCCATGGCTCATCCATGCCAATAGGCAGTAGCGGTCGATAGGACGTCTATGTATTCCATAAGATGTCTATGTTCGACACCCCCCATGGAAGAGAGGGGTGGGGTGAGCAGTTGCTCAATATCATTTAAAGAGATCCATGTACCGAAACAAAGTGAACAGAAATGTTTTTGAGGAGGTAAAAAGGGTGTTTTACACAACCATTGAGGAAATTTAACCAAAGTATATTATGAATATTTACATTAACACCCGAAAGAATCACACAAACTTGTGTAAAAATGGGCATTCAATGACCCTTTTAATATTTTTTTATTTTATTAAAATTGATTCATTTGGAGTTTTGAGCACTCACTCCGTCCTGTATGTTTAGGTGACCATGGTCTACCTTGTTTTTCTTTCTCACAGTCTGGTCCAGTGTACTTGATTGGAGATTGCAGGGCTCTTCAGCTGAAACAATATAAAAGTTTGTTTAGGTGTGTGTGTGTGTATGTGTGTGTGTGTGTGTGTTAGCTGACAGGGTTCATTTCATTCCAGTTACTCAGTCATCCTTTATAGCAAGGTCTGGGCCAATCAAATCCACAGATATTAAGTTTACATGCACATTGCAATCTAGCTTCACTGGGTTTTTTGTTTAGTCAAACTTCATCTTCATCTGTCTGTAATCTTATATGCTTAAATATACATCGCAGTTGGACTGTCTTTTGGCACAAGCATACAATGTCAATCGTAGTCCGATTAACGCGAATACATTCTGAAAGAAGCCAAGCTAAAATCAAATTATCATGTTATCGACCGTGCAACTATTTAGTTGAAAGAATCAGTCTGACTTAAACTTTTTAAGTGCATATAAAAGAAGGGTTCTTTATTTGCAGGAATGCCATAGAAGAACCATTTTGGTTTCTCTACAGAAGCTTTCAGGGAACAGTTTTGAAAGGAAACGAATGGCATTTTAAAACTCTTAAGAACCCTTTTCCACTATTAATAAACCTTTTGTGCAGTGGAAAGGTTTAATGGATGGTAAAGGTTCACATACAGCAGATGTTAATTAATGCAGATTAGACTCCTTCAATGTCTAGTTTCTCCATTTTAATGATCTTCTCATGTTATCCTCAGGTAAACACACCTTAGCTAGGATGTTGAGGTATTTTATTTTTTATTAGAGTCATGTATACGGGTTGAAAGCAGGTGTTAGAGCAGTCAGGCGTTTACGCTTGCCTTGGGCTTCACATTAGCGTCATGCTCCACTGGCTTTTTTAGCATCCTGGCTAGCACTTACATACGCAGTGACTGCCAACCTCTCTAAGCCTCTCTTTTATATCTCAGTCTCGGAAAGTATGTAATAATATATCAAATAATAATTTCAAATAATTCCCTCAGTATGACTTGACAGACACCACTTCAATGAATTAATTAACATTAGACAAACAAGCAATTTTACTTTTTTTTACAAGCCATACTAGCTTCAGCAATATCTTAGTAATCCAAGACAATAATCAAAGATTACTGATATTCTCCACACAATTCTTGTTCATTCATATCTTCACAGAGCTAAGAAAACACAACCCCTTGGAAATCCATTTTAAGCGCCGGAAAAGACAGCCAAAATCAACAGTCCAATCATCTCTCTCGATTCACTTTGACATTTTGACTGATGTAAAATGAACATTTCAACGCCTGCACCAACAGCAGATAAAGTCCTGTCAATCTAGCCAATTACCTTTCAGAAATACAAGAACATTTCTGTCAGATTGTGTGATGGATGACCATCCATGTCTGGTGAAACCACTAAACTTCCATGCAAAACTTGTGTTTTCTTTTCAATTTGCAGTGGCACTGAAGCAGCTAAACAGATGCCAAATACAGTTTGATTGTTTCTACTGGCTTTACCGACACAGTTTTACAGTTAACAGTAATTCTTTACCTGTGAAAAAAAAACAATTTCTCATCACAGTCAACTTCCTGTTCACTTTAACTGAGCCAACCGAATAGTTAGAACGGAAAGGATGCTTCCAACAGCTCTGAGAGACCGTATCGCAGTGAGAGGGGGTGGAAAGAGGGAAAAAACTAAACAGAGTCCTCCAACTCCTCTCACACCTCCACAAAAGCACAGGACCGACACAAGGTGGGAGAGCAGGTCGCTATGGCAACTGACGAGTGGCCTCCAAGGAGAGTCACACACATCCCCCAGACTTCCTCAATTAGCTGCACACACACACATGTTAGGGAGGGCTACAGTGCTTGCTCTGAATGGACATTTTGGTTGCTCATTAACACAGGGTGAAAGCAGTTTATTTCTGGAATGTTTCTAACATTTTTTCCCTCATATTTATATGTTTTTAACCCTGTCTTTTTTATTCACTATATTTCACTGCATATCTTATATGTGCAGCCTTGTAATACATCTGAGTTCCCACAATCCTGTATCCACTTGGGAATGGTGACCACATGCCATTTCACTGTGCAGGTCATTGACATTCTGGTGCATTGTTACCACTGGCCCAGTGGTGGTTTACTGTGGTGGATCATTTTTGCCAGCAACAGAGCTTAATGTCCCTAGCATGTTCGCCACTATCCAGGCATTTCTTCTTCATCGCTGAGATGTGTTTAGATATCTGTTAATCCCCCTGAGCTGTTGAAGATGTTTATTTACTTTAATTTATTCCCAGAGGAATATTTTATTGCTCAGAGGTCAGCATTTATTGCTCAGGAGCAGTGGCGTAGGTTTGATTTTGAAATTAGTGGGGACGGGGACATCAATTTATAAATATATTTTAAGTTTTGATCAAAATTATTGCTAGGGATATATCAGTGTCACTGGATATTGCGGGACACGTTACTAGCGTCCCTACTAAATTCGACACCCCTGCTCAGACTTAATGGAGATCTTTGGTTCATGTCATTTAAGTATCAACTTTCTCTGAGATGTTTCTAATCACTCCTAAAGGTTCCAAGGGGTGGGG